CCCCTGGTCAGATGGTTCCATTTGAATTTGTTGGAACCATGCTGATGCATCCATGAACGTTAGCAGTTCGTGGCTATCTATAGAATCTATCATGGAATCTATGTGTGGTAGGGGGAAAGGATCCTTATGGAAAGCCTTGTTAAGATCCGTGTAATCCACATATACTCGTCATTTGCAATTCTTCTTTTGTACTATGGCGACATTGGCTAGCCACCTTGGGAACTTCACTTCCTTGATCATCCATGCCTTGAGAAGTTTTTCTACTTCTTCTTGGATGATCTGATTTCTCTCAAGCGCAAACTTCCTTCTTTTTTGGTGTATTGGTCTGAAAGAATGATCAATGTTAAGTTTATGAGTTATAATACTTTTGTCTATACCTGTTATATCCTTATGCTTACATGTGAATGTTTTGCTTCTATATTTAGGAACTTTATTAGTTCTTGCTCGATCTGTTCTGGTATTGAGGATCCTATGAGGACTTTGGCTTCAGGATCCTCGAGGTTCAGGGGCATTTCCTTTACATCATATTCTCTTGTTTCTAGCACACCTCTTACCCCCTGCTTTAATTGCTATGCTTGTCGTGGTATTGTTGAAGATTTCATCGAGGTCTTGTAACACTCCTTGGATTCTTGTTAATCAACTTTGATCTTTACTGTCCCCCATGGAGCGGACATCTTGACACATTGATGGTATATTGAGGGGACAACCTTCATATCATGGATCCATGGTCTACCTAATATAACATTATAGGAGGATAATGTATCAATTACACAAAAGTGTTGCATAGACTTTACCCCCTCTATGTAGATAGGTAGCTTTATCTGGCCGACTGTATGCTTTGTTTCGCCACTGAATCCTATTAGCAATGAGGATCTTTTGACTATTTCGGATTTGGGGATGTTCATCCTTTTCAAAGCATTCAGGAGTATAATGTTGACTGAGGAACCTACATCAATAGGGATCCTTTTGACGAAATGGTTGGAAATATAAAGAGTGATCACCAGTCCATCGTAGTGGGGATCATGGACGTCCGTTCTATCTGTTTCGTCAAAGGTAATTTCCTTCTCGTTCGTGATTGACGTATTCTTATGAGGCCTTTCTTCTTTCTTTGTTTTCGACACTTTGGCATGTCTTTTTGCTGCAGAATAAAAGGTGCCGAAAATGTCAGATCCTCCAGAGATCACATTGATTACCTTGGCGTTTGCAATAGGGGATCCTGGTTTTTCTAGGATCTTATGGGGATGTTGATCCTTTTCTTTGGATCTTTCTTTTCTTCTTCCAAGGATCTCCTTGATGTATCCCTTGCTAAGTTGGTAACTGATCTCCTTTCTGAGAGCTATGAAATCGTTCGTAATATGGCCAAAGTCCTCGTGATATGCGCACCATTTGGACTTATCTTTCCAAGTGGTGGACTTTTCTACCTTTCTTGTCCATCTTGCTTTGTCGCCAAGATCCTGCATAGCAAATATTAAACCTGAAATATCTACAGAAAAAAAATAGTCAGTGATTTTAGGAAACTCTTCTTCATCCCCTTCATTCTCGAGGGTGTTGACGATATGATGATCAGGTTTGGATTTATAGGATCTTTGGACCGAGGAACCAACTTTCCTATTGGAATGGTCATATAAGTTTGGCGGGTTACTCCTCTTTTGGATCTCCTTGTCTTCTTCGAACCTTGTGAACCTTAGTGCTCTGCTCCTTACTTCATCCATTCTTTTGCATGGAGTCATTACAAATATTTATTTAGTGTAGTAAATACAAAAACACTAATGTATGAAAAGGGCGGTTTTTTTTACTAATGATTGTTTGGATTTTGAGCTTGATGATGCCATACAAACAGTGGTGGTGCAAATAAGAACACTTTCTATCACAACATTCTACTTCTAGTTTTTTTCCCTATTAAGGCATTTTACTTTAGAAAAGTTATATAATGAGATAAAATTTCATTTTCTTATTAGGACATTGTAGTTTGAAAACTCTACCAAGATTATAGGAAGTAGAATGTTGTGATATGAAGACATGAAAGTAGAATGCTTTATCCCAAATTTTTATCTTTATTATGATATAGTAATTATGTGTTTGCCTAACACATTTATGAAATCAAATAAACTATCTATTGTTGATCATAAATCTTTAATGTTATTTTTAGGTATATTGTAGTGAAGACCTCAATATGTTGGAAGTATCAACATTATACGGCAAATGTGAAGTTAGAAGGAAGAAATACCTTTCTTCACAAGACACTACTTACATCTTTGACTATGTCTTCTTTTGTGATCACCTTTATGACAAGGAAAAAGATAACTTGAAGTGGTTTAGCTATAGAGGACACCTATTATGTTGATATAAATTTTTTTGTAGTTTGATGTAACTTGTTATGGGCTGTAATGTAATGTATAAAGTAAATATATTGGTATTATGATGAATGATATGAAATTTAACAAGCCTTTTTTAGCAACATACTTTGCTTTTAACCTTTTTTTAGCAACATACTTTTCTTACAAGGCTTTTTAGCAACATACTTTGCTTTCAACCCTTTTTTTAGCAACATACTTTTCTTACAACCCTTTTTTAGCAACATGATTTATGAATTATGACTTAATGGGACAATTTATGTAAAAACATACTTAGAATGATAATGTACTTTGATAACAATGAGTTTGTAATATATTCCAACATGCAAACTACACAAGCAAAAAACAAAAAAGTAATAACAAAAAGTGAGTTAAATGAGTTAACTATCATTAAAGGTTACCAAAAAATGTGTTTCAACTATACTACACATTACATAGTTACTCATTCTTTCAAATGATATATTTTTCACTCCAATAAACTATCAGTGGCATTCTTTAGCTCTTTGTCCTAAAGTATAATGGTATAATTATAATCCCAATCATGGCGTTTCCAGGCTCCAATCCTTTGCTTTTATGTGAAGTCTTGACATATGTAAACTAGGCTCGAATGATTTATGTTAGATATCCCTGTTACAAAAACACCAATGTTGACAATGTACTTTATCCATTATGCACTTTTGATGAAACTTGGTTAAGAGTGTCCATCATCTAATTCAGTAACATTTGATTGTAAACCATAATATGGACGATAGAGGCGTCATCATTGAATTCTCCCCTTCCCTTTCCCCTGCCGTGTGCCAATACCTACACATTGCTAACATACCATAAGTAAATGTACTTTTGCTCTAAAGGTCAACGATGAAATTGCTTACTATTCTTGTTCTTGTTCTTTAGTGATGAACTTCTTCTTTCCGTCTTTACTGACTTCCACATCTTCTCCTCTTGTAAAATTACCAAAAGCCCATCTCCACAACAACAAAAAGACTCGAAAGAAGATCGAATTTGAAGAAAAGATTGTAACTTGATGATGAAAAAGGACAGAAACCTAATCTTGCATGAACTTTTAATCAACAAATAGGTTTAATTTGGAATATTGAAATAATAAAGTTGGTAATGATGTATAACATACAATGTGATACTGCTTTTGTCAAAAATAGAGTCTATCTACAAGAAAACAATACTCATTTATTTGTTAAAGTCCCAACAGTCTTGATATTGTTGATTTTGAAACAAAAAAATGTTTCTATGTTGAAGGAAACTATTTACTCCATGAAGCACAGTGGATCCAAGCTTATTTATTTGACTTAAGATAAAAAATATTTACAACAACAATCCAATTAAGTGATATGAAATTTTGTTGTGGAAGGTAAAACACTAAAATGATGATAAGAAAATAGAAGAACTCAACTCACTTAGGCATTTCATCGAATACTTGGTGACAAGACATTATCCCAAACATTGAATCACTATATGAGTCACTTCTCATATAGAGGCAAATGTTATTGAGAACATGACCAAATTTTCATATTCCGGAACCAAAATTAAGCCTGTGGTTAAGCCGTGACCTAAAAAAAGAGCATATATGGAAAAGGAATTGTGAAATTGATATATGGACTTCAACAATTCGAGATTCCAGATATGTAGGTGACCTATTCATCAGTTGTAATCCCAAATTGAATGTTCAATTGACAACGAAAACAATAAAATTACCTTATTTGTGATGCATGAGTGTGTGCGACACCGGGGAAAGCAGCGATCGGAAGTACTAACAGGGACCAGGCTCGATCATGATTTGTGATGGACTGGCAATCGTGATATAAGGTAGTAAGTACCAAGGGCAATATTGTCCATTCAAAATGTTTTTTTTAATTATAATGATTCAAGATTATAAAAAATAATTACAAATCAATAAAAATTATAACAAATAAATTTAGGTATATATGATATTAAAAAACATTGAGAAGGGCAAATGCGATATTTAGAGTTTAGGTCGGACATATATGATATTTAGATGTTTAATAATGACATATACAAAATTCTGCCTATATAATATGTCACATGTCATTTTGTGATAAATTTAGATTAAATTATATTCATGTGTCATTTTGTGCTTTTTTCCATTTTATTAAATTTCATATAATACTTAAATGTAATAAATGTAATAATAAATATATATCCGATTCATTAATGCAACCTTTATTATAATTTTTAAATTTCTAAATTGAATCAAGTTATTTTAGTTGTTTATTTATTTAAATTATGAGAAATTAAACATCCTCCTACTTTTTGTTTCTATAAATTCTCCTACCCAATTAAATAGTGACATATGTAACATTTAATGTCCATTTAATGAAATTTTAGTATACTAATATGACACATGTCTTGATTTAATTGGGTAGGAGGATTTGTAGAAACAAAAAATAGGAGAATATTTAATTTTTCATAAATTATTAATATAAATTTAAAAGATAAATAAACACTTCAATTTTAATAATTAAATATATATATATATATATATATATATATATATATATTTTATAAGTTTAAATTTTCTAAATTGTTAAATTTTTATATATTTTTTTAATAAACTCATATGGATATATAAATAAAATGTCAATTATGGTTGTTTTTTACGAACAAAAGAAAGAATTTATTTATTTATAGTAAATACTGGACCTCGCAAAGTCAGGTAACTTAATTTTTTGGTGGCGTCGGGCGCCAAATTAACGTTATCTTCTCCGCCTGTGTTCTGCTTGACTGCTTCCATCCAAATTCTTTGCGCAACAGAAAAATGGCCTCGGCCACTTTAACCCGTACGTTCTACAATCTCAGCAGTCTAGGCTCCTCTAAACCTCAGGTTCAGAGAAGTCTGGACTCTCGCCGTACCGTTGGAACTGGAGGAAGGAAGAGTGAAGTTCGATGTGAGGCGGTTGGAGTCGCAGCCGCAAATCGGAAGCCGCTGGTGACCACCGTTAAGAACGGGAATGATTCGCTGGAGATATGCAGAGTACTTAACGGAATGTGGCAAACAAGTGGCGGTTGGGGCAGAATCGACCGTGATGGTGCCGTTGACGCTATGCTCAAGTACGCCGATGCTGGTCTTTCCACCTTCGACATGGCTGATCACTGTAAAATCCATGAATTCCATCTCACTTTACAGTGAAACCCTAGTTTTTATTTTTATTACCTTGTATACGATAAATTTAATTGCTATTTAGTTTCATTATCACATTGATTTCTACAATGGAATTGAATTTCTAATCTGTTCGAGTGAAATTTCTTCTCCTCTCGGTGTCCAAAAAGTTTGATTTACTGTACTTTCCCTAGTGAAAGAGCAGATAGGCGAGTGTTTTGGAAGTAGCCACGTGGCACCATCTCGATCAACAATTCTCATCCCCAAGATTTATCTTTTTGTTAGAATTTATCCCAACTTCTTTCTCACATCGCACATACGAGTTGTTATTATTTATCCCAATTTATCCCAACTTCTTTCAGTTCTTCGAAATGACAGAGCTGTTAAACTACTCGTTTACTCACTTCACCTTGAATTCAATCAAACCAAAGTTCAATAGTGGATTTGAAACTCGAAAATTGATCTCAAGAACAGTCCATTGTGTGTTAACAGAAGATACGAAAGTGTCTGTGGTTAAGAATGGGAAAGATTCTTTAGAAATTTGCCGTGTAGTTAATGGAATGTGGCAAACTAGTGGTGGATGGGGCAAAATTGACAGGGACAATGCCATTGATGCCATGCTCAAGTATGCTGATGCTGGCTTTTCCACCTTTGATATGGCTGATATATGTAACAATTTATTGGTCATTATAATCTTGTTATGCTCTATTTTTGCCTACTTTCTATTAGTTTTGCATAACTATAATTTTCTGGATTACAACTATCTTTTATATGGCAGATGGGCCTGCAGAAGATCTTTATGGCATCTTCATTAATCGTGTCCGCAGAGAACGCCCACCTGAGTTTTTAGAAAATGTCAAAGGGTTTGTTATCCACTTATACTTGCTAACTATTGTTGGACATGGTGTTTAATGACTTAATCCTTCCCTAACGATCTTATATTTCTACACTGATATGCAGTTTAACCAAGTGGGTCCCACCCCCAGTTAAAATGACAAGCAGTTATGTCCGGAAAAACATTGATATCTCACGAAAAAGAATGGATGTTGCTTCCTTGGACATGCTTCAGTTTCATTGGTATCAATTGCATCCTCTCTTGATTCTTTCAAATTCATTAAAAATGTGTTCTTTACTTAAAATTTGAAATGTGTCTACCAGGTGGGATTACTCTAATAATGGCTATCTTGATGCCCTTAAACACCTTACAGATTTGAAAGACGAAGGTTTAGCTTGTAACTTGTTCATTATTAATTGTCTTATTCTTTTGATTAAGTTCTTGATACAAGACTGGATAACTTCATCTTCTGGTTTACAGGTAAAATCAAGACTGTAGCTTTGACTAACTTTGATACAGAGAGGTTACAAATTATTCTGGAAAATGGTATTCCAATTGTTAGCAATCAGGTAATATAATTTGAATATATGTATGCATGTACACCTTTTTTTTTGAATTCCATCATATATTTACTACTTATTAGTATTACTATCCATTTGTTACTATTATCAGGTTCAACATTCACTTGTGGACATGCGACCTCAACAAAAAATGGCAGAACTCTGCCAGCTCACCGGAGTAAAACTTATAACGTCTCTCTCTCTCTCTCTCTCTCTCTCTCTCTCTCTCTCTCTCTCACACACACACAATGGTGTATAGACTAATGTTGTATTTGTGTTGCAGATATGGAACAGTGATGGGAGGATTATTATCTGAGAAGTTTCTAGATACTAATTTGTCAATCCCATTTGCTGGACCTCCACTCAATACTCCTTCCCTTCAAAAGTACAAAAGGGTATGTTACAAATATAAACACCAAATTATATATATATATAAAAAAAAAGGATAATCTTTTTTTTTTTTTTTTTTTTTATGGCTAATGGTGTTTCAATACAATATGCATATACCAGATGGTTGATGCATGGGGTGGATGGAGTCTGTTTCAAGCTCTGCTCAAGACACTAAATAAGGTGGCATTGAAACATGGAGTCACAATTCCAACTGTTGCTGTGAAGTTTGTATTAGATCAGGTAAACTCACTTTTCTTTTTTTATTTAATTTCATCAGATAAAGATTATTGCATTTTTTTTATTGGTTTATTTACTGAAAGTGCATGGGATTACATTTACAGCCGAGTGTAGCAGGGTCAATGGTTGGTGTTAGACTTGGGTTATCTGAACATATTAAGGACTGTAGTGCTGTGTTTTCACTTAAACTTGATGAAGAAGATGTCAGCAGCATTAGGGAAGTGATAAGCAAGGGAAAAGATTTAATGAGAGTGATTGGTGACTGTGGAGATGAATATAGACGTGCATAAATGAAGCACAAGGAACATATAGTATTTTTTGTATTATGCAAATGAACAATTATGGACACATGGAGATAAGAAATTTGTTTTTGGAGAAGTTTCTTTTCAAGCTATGTTTTAGTATGGACTGGGGAAAATTCTAACTTTGTGATTACAATGACTCAATTTTATATACACCAGTCTATTGCTATTGCCCAAAGTTCATGGCCCGATCCAAGGTGGCTAGGCCCACACATCACTTAAGAGTTATCTAGAGTCTATACATGTCTTTAGTTTCCTAATATATTCTAGAATGGGTCCCTTTTATCTTCTAGAATGTGTCCCTCGATATTTTATCTATTCATATCGCATGTAAGGTCAAGTTTAAATAAGGCTATCCCGCTTCATTTTTACTCACTTAGCCCATTTGAGATCTATAACTATAGTGTTACATTGTCTAAGTGTTAGAATTGCTTTCTTGTATATTTATCCTCAAGTTTGCCACCAAAGTGCACGGATTAGAAATTTAGCCTCGTGACTAATGGTGACTTTAAACGTTTGGAGGAAGGTTTGCATGATGGAAGGAGGTGGAATTGTTACCAAGGTACAATGGGGAAGTATGTGATCATGATCGAATCCCCCTAAAGAACCATTCATAAATCTAAAAGTGATTTAAGACCTCTTTTGAGCTCGACCTATACCACACAATGTTCCCTTGATGCCATTGTTGCATCAGAGTCCTTTGTTAGCCACTTGTCAAAGTTTAAGGGTTATATCCAAGAAATATAGTAGAGAGAAAAAGAAGCTCACAAAAGGGGAGATAAGCAGTAATAAAACAAAGTCATCAATATCGTCCTTCAGAACATACACACACACAAAATTTCCATTTTCATGTTTACATGTCAATAGGGTTTGAGTAATTTAATATCTTTCAACTTGAGGAAAACATGACGTTGGGAGAGTCACATGAGGAGGAGGTGTAAGAGCTGAAGATGGAAGATGTTCAGTTCCACCATTACCTAATGAAGGGAAGACAATTTCAGCTTGACTCGAATGTGGAAGGTCATCTCCAGAAGAGTAGGGAAAACAATTTCCATAAGAACGAAGAAAACAATTTTTATCTTCATAAGACATCTAAAAGTGGAAAAAAAAAAGAATTCAAGTTAGTTGATTTTAATCATTAATTATTAACTCAAAAATTAAATTAATGTTAGGATCTATATTTTCATTTCTGAAGAGGGATGTTGTAATCATATTATGAAACAATTTTAGGTAGGTAGAAACATTTCACCAATTTCAATCACATGAAACTCCTATATCTTTTGAAATTTTCATTGAAACATCAATGACATGTTTAATCTCAGATTATGCTCTTACCAATTGTGACTGGGATGCCGATGATCACAATTAAGATGCGAATAACTATGCAAACCCGCTCAACTACCCCCAATCGATTTATAATCTCTCATTGATGTGTCAGTTAACCACATACGCTCCATCAACGATTATAAACACGAGTTGTTTCATCATTTTATCTTTATAGTCCCACATTAGTGTGTCGGTTAACCACACACGCTCCACTAACGACATCATAAAGAAATGATGTGTGTTTTCATGAATTAGTATCTCCAAGTTAGTAGAATTCATCAATGCCCAGATTAGAACCCGAGATCTCTAATCTAAGATGTAAAACCTCTACCGAGTGGATTAGTCCCACGTTGGCCAACACTTGCTAGTTTTGACACAAATCTAGTGTATGAATGGTGTTTTCTACTCCAAACACTTATGTTGTGTAGTCATGGTGCTTGATTTATTTTTTATGTTAATAATCTTTTATTTAAAATTTCCAAGATTGATTGTTAAATTAGATGAAGTTGGGGTGGTAGGATATTTTTTGAAATTAAATTCAAGTGTATTGTAATATTGTAAACTTTATACTTCACTAGATTTCAAGGTGCAAAAAATGTTTCAGTTTAGGACTGTTTTTTTTTAATCTCTTTTTGGTGTATATGACGATATGGATTAAGTTGGGCTTTTAATTATTTTTCATAAGAAAATTACAAATTTAGCCTTAATAATGACTTTTTAAAAAATAGCAAAAAAATCCAATTTTCATAAAATAACCATTGAAATGGTAGGTGGCTAGGCTTACCTACGATTTCGTACCTTCCAACTGTGATTTCAACTGGGTTGTGATTAGCCCCGTTTTTAGCCCATGACCCGAAAATAAGGTGTGGGTATAAAAGTTTTTTTTTTTAATATTTTATAATGAAACCCCAATTGACAAGGTCTATTTGCGATTTCCTTTGAGCTATTTATGATTTCCACATGAATATTCGTTTTTTATGTTCCCAATAAAGTATGTAAGTTTGACTACGATTTTGTTGAAATTGTCTACGATTTCTAGCATGTTTGACTATGAATTTGTACATTTACATGCGATTGTACAAGTCTCTGATGCACAATTTATGCATCAAATTATACATCTCCTACACATGCGATTTCCTCTCAAATACCAACATACAGATGCGATTTTCTACCCTATACATGTGATTGCCTCTTATTCATCTCTTGCACCTATGATGTCCTCTCTAGATTTCATACAATTTCGGTTTTTATTGATAAATAATACACAAACGTATCATGGATGCAAAAAAAACCTACTAAAACACGATTAAAACACTAAATAAGTAGATAACTTACCAAATTTTCAGGAGAGTACATATCTTTCAACCATTACAAACGGTTAGAGAATCATTGATGGGTTTTACAAGTTACAAAAACTTTGTATTTGCATAAATTCTCTTAACACTTAAGGGAACATGCAACCTAAGGATCTATGTCTTTACAATTTTTTGGAAAGGGAACTTCCCTAACGAGGGTTTCCGGGCCAGCTTTCGCGTACCGACTAATCCCCCGCTGCAAACATGAGGCTTTGCCTCATGCCCTGGAGTCACTGCAGGCGAACCTCCATGGCCACAAGGGCTGAGTGGTGCCAGGATTTGAACATGGGTCAATAGGTTATCCACCATATCTTCCACATGTCTTACCAAGTCACCACAACCCAAGTGGTTATGTCTTTACAATTAAGAGCAATATACTATGAACTACTATTACCCTAGCTATAATCGAAATTCATAGATAGAGTTATACAACTTTGATTGTTATTGTAAGCAATTCTTTGAATCCTTCTTGATCTTGGAAAGCTAGCACCAATAGTATGATGCCTCTAATGGTTCACACATAAAACTAGAAACTCTAGAATGAAGAGGAGAGGGAGGAAGGGAAAGAATTATCATTCCTATGATACTTGGGAATGTCATGAACAAAATTAGGGATCCAATGTGTCCTATTTATAGTTTAGGTAACGTGCAGACAAAGCTAAATTTGAATAATTAAATAATAGATTTAATTTCTAATTCAAATCTTTTCCTTATCTGCCACCAGGATTCTGGAAACTCTAAAGAGCTCCATAAAACCATCCATGTCATGGACCTTTCTAGAATTACCTCTTTTGTTCAACTACTAAACAATTACAATTCACCCCTTGCACCTTTAATCAATTCCAATTAATCCCAAATTAATTCTAGATTAATTCCGATTAATAGTTAATTAATTCTTATTAATTTCATATTAATTTATTAATCATATAAATTAACAAATCAATTATTTAACTATTGATCTCATATTAGTTTATTAACCACAAAATAAATTAACAAATCAGTTATCTATTTTTAATTAATATATTAATCATATAATATAACAACAAATCATTTCCTCTCTCCTAATATCATTTCTAGCTATTTCTGGTTATAAGAGAAACCCAAAAAGGATTTTCATTTTAATTACAAGAATATATCAATTTAGTTATAAGCTTAAACACATTAATCCAACAATCATATCATCATATCATATCGTACTATACTATAAAAGAAACATTTTTCCTTTCATTTCATTCATTTGAATCTCTAATAACTTTTCAATTCTTTCTAACAATGTTATAAATTAGTTAAATAATGTTATATAAATACAAAAAAAGCATCTACCTAAACATAAAGTTATAAAATCCCTTTGATTCATAAGCAAAAAATGTATACTCGATTATATTTTATAAATGAATTCATTTTATTATGAATTTTTGAATCATGAATACACTATAAACAAACTTTCTATATTACGTAACTTTACTGTATTTATGATTTTGGGGTTTAACAAAAAAATTCAATAAAAACTTACATTTTTGGATAACAACTTACGAGATTATTGAAAAAATGAATTACTGAACAATAATTTGTTTGGTTACGTTTATTTATTTATTTTATTTACCTAATATGTTATTTAACAAAATGAAATTATTGACAAATAAAGAAAAGAGTTTGATTAAAATGTATTCATCTCCTATCGATTGTGAGAGCAAACAAGAGAATGTCTTCTCCTCTATAAATTTGAAAGGTTGTGAAATATTTCAAAGGGACCGAGCCATGAGAAAATTCCTTACGCCTACCTTTGTATGACATTGTCTTTGCTGGCAAATGCCTAGTTAAGCTTTAGAACTACGAAAATGGTTTTGGACCAGTTTTTTTGGTTCAACCCGGGTTTTCAATTAAAACAAAGTTATGTTGTTTGGTATATTAAGTCGAATCAGTCCGAGTTTGATCGATTTGAACCGAGTTTGATTAATATTTGAGTCTTTTGGCCGAGTTGGTAAAACTCGCCTCGGTTGGACGTCTAGTATAAGTAACTTGTCGGGTATTTAGTTGAATCGACTGAATTTTACAACCTTGTAACTAATACAATTTTAAGTATCAAACTTATAAAAGATGTCTCTATTATCATATGTTCTACATAGTTATAATATTTAAGATAAACTTTTTGATTTATTTTGAAGTTATTACTTAATTAATAACAAAAACATCTACCTAAGCATAAAAATATAACTGTTTGAAAAAAAACCATTTGATTTATAAGCACAAAATGTATACTCGATTATATTTTATAAAGAAATTTATTTTATAATGAATTTTTGAATCATGAAAATCCATTTAAACGAACTTTATATATTACGTAGTTTTACTATATTTATGATTTTGAAATTTAACAAAAAAATTATTCAATAAAAACTCACTATTTTGGATACCAACTTACATGATTATTGAAAAAATAAAATTATTGAACAATAAAGTTTTTGGACAACATTTATTTATTTATTTTATTTACCTAACATGTTATTTAACAAAATACAATTATTTATAAAAAAAATAAATGAGTTTAATTAAAATGTCTTCATCCCACCTCGATTAACAAGAGAATCCATCATTTATAAATAAAAAAAGTTGTGAAATGTTTTACATTTTAACTATATATAAAATATATTTGTACATGCATAACACAGAGGAGATTCACCTAGTTTCTATAATCTGAAAACGTAAAAATGAGGGTTATCTTGAAAAATTATGGTATATATGGTTTCAGCCGTGAACGAAAATTGGCCCAAATCACAACCTCCCTTGTGATAGAAATCGCAACTAGGCGGTATAAAATCTCAAGTGCGTCTAATCATATACTATTTTAGTGACTATTTTCGAAAAAAACGCAAACTTTATTTGCTATTTTTTAAAAGTTATTAACGTTTTAACTAAATTTGTAAATTTTTCCTTTTTATTATTAACATTAAAAATATTAATTTGTATTTTACGTTATGTGTTTATAAGTTATTTGTTTGTTAATTTCCACACCCAAAAGGACTAGAACCATATCAACGTTATAAGTATTACAACATATAATACAAGATGTAAAAAAAATCTTTTTGAAAATAAGGATATTGACTCTAGTCATAGCAAATTCTTATATTTATATTTTTTTTTTCGAATTTTTTTTTGATATAATATCTTTCATCATTCATAATTTTATAGTTAAATTAATGGTATATTTTAAATTGTGATTTTTCTCCCTTAGTATATTTTAAAGTTACGTTTTTGGTTCATTGCATAATTTTTTTTAAACAACAAATATACTAAACTACTTATAAATTATTCCACATATGTCCACTGCGGGACTTGAACCCATCGACCTCAAGGAGAGACAACAATACCGAATATCGCTAGGTTAGAAGCTCTTTTGGTGCATAATCTTTTTATAGTTTCATTTATATATATATATATATATATATATATATATATATATATATATATATATATATATATATTATATATATATATATATATATATAATAGATTTTCAAACCTTATTTTCGTACATCTACTTCATGCACAATTGTTTTGGTTTGAACTTTTATTTTGATACTTTTGTAGTCCATTTGATATGGTATAATCAAACATCATGGTATATATCTATAAAATTAAATAAAGATAACTTAATTATTTTATATGTACTTAACCCTTATCTTTTAAAGGAGGATGAAGTTATTCCCTCATAACCCACTGAACCCACTGTCACATTAAATTTTGTCTTTTATTTTTTCTTGATCTTTTCCAACTCACAACAACACGAAAATCTTATCTTTCTCAACCCACTCAATTAAAATAAATACAAAACAAGTAAGATACAAGTTTTAAAACACATGGTATAAGAGAAAATGAGAGAGAGAAAGTAGAGGCTGATGATGAAGTGAGTTAATGAAACCAATTAAACAACTCGTTGAAGCGGGGGTGGTATCGACAGTAACTCTATTGCTAATTAATATTTTACCTTTATTGTTTTGTATTTTTTTTAATTGAATGGGTTGAGTGAGTTCAAAAAATAGGGTTTCCGTGTGTTGTGGGTTGGGAAAGATGAAGAAAAATAAAAAAGAAAAAATGATGTGACAGTGAGTTGAGTTGAGTGGGTTGGGAGGGAATGACTCCCTCCTACCTACCCCTAAGAGAGTTACCAAAAATAATCAACCATGGTTAATTTAAAAACGATAATGACCAATTATATACTATTAAGCAACATTATTCTTAACTTGTTATTTTCTAAAACCATATGGACTATTCATGAAAAATTGTTTAAAAAACAAAATAAATAAGAATGAGGGCCATATTTATGCCTTACTCTGATGTACACTGTCTCCTGTTTCTTTAAACCCTAGACCCTAATTCTCTGCCTCTTTCACCACCTCCTCCATAAGCGGCTGCAACTCCTTGGAGGTAAATCGGTTTCTAGGGTTCGTTAATTTCCCGTAGCAGCCTCTGTCTGCAGGCTTTGTAGCTACTTGAAGATTAAACCTTCTGTTTGAAGGAAAAAAAATAGAAGAAGAAATAATTGATTTATGTTTTGTTTTTCAGGATAATCTGAAAGAATCAAGAGAATGTTAGTGCTTTTTGAAACCCCTGCGGGTTTTGCCCTTTTTAAAGTATTGGATGAAGGAAAGCTCTCCAAAGTTGATGTGAGTACATTTATATGGTTCAAGGGTAGATATAGCTATATATCTGTGTTTATATGTTTCTGATTGTTTTCAACGTCTGTTTATAGGATCTGTGGAAGGACTTCTCATCTGCGGATGCAGCCAGACAGGTCGAGCTCTAACATTGTTATTATTCGTTCTGTTTTTTTCATGATTACTCAATGTAATCAACGTTTTTGTATACGGTCGAAAACGAAGTGACAGGATCTGTGTTTTGCTTTTAGTAATTAGTCATACGTTGATCTACCATATATATCAAAAAACATATACTTATGAGCTCATTCATCAACAGGTGGTAAAGCTAAAAGCCTTTTCCAAGTTTGAAAACACATCAGAAGCACTCTCAGCAGCTACCCTGTTAATTGACAGCAAGCCCAGCAAAGGTCTGCGCAAGTTCTTGCGTTCTCATTGTGATGGCGAGACATTGGCTGTTGCAGACTCCAAACTTGGAAACGCCATCAAGGAAAAACTAGTAAGTTGTATTTTCCATTCGAAAAAATGTAATCATTATGTTTCTTGTCTTCATTTCTGTTTATTCGAATTTGATCTCAAACAATCCACTTTTGTAGCAAATCGAATGTGTTCACAACCACACTGTCATGGAACTTATGAGAGGAGTCAGAAGTCAATTGACAGAACTCATAACCGGTTTAGGCGCACAAGATTTAGCCCCAATGAGCTTGGGTTTATCTCACAGTTTGTCTAGATACAAACTTAAGTTCAGCCCAGACAAAGTAAGTTTCTTCTTCTTCATAACTTCATATTATGATTTTATCTGAACATGTTTCTGAACATCTTGTTTTTCTAAAAAATGATCCAGGTGGACACCATGATCATTCAAGCTATTGGCTTGTTAGATGATCTTGATAAAGAGCTCAACACCTATGCAATGAGGGTGCGTGAATGGTATGGATGGCATTTTCCAGAACTTGCTAAAATCGTACAAGACAATATCTTATATGCCAAGGCAGTTAAACTCATGGGTTATCGCACAAATGCTGCAAAACTTGATTTCTCTGGGGTAAATTACATTTATACCCTTTTTGTCCTTTCTTGTTCCCATATTAGCAACTTACTTATAACACCTTTTTTTGCAGATACTACAAGAAGAGGTGGAGACAGAACTAAAAGAGGCAGCTGTGGTTTCCATGGGAACTGAAGTGAGTGACCTTGACTTGGTCAACATCAAGGACTTATGTGACCAAGTGTTGTCTCTTTCAGAATACAGAGCTCAACTTTATGATTATTTGAAGAGCAGGATGAATACAATTGCACCTAATTTAACTGCCATTGTTGGAGAGCTTGTTGGAGCTCGATTGATTGCTCATGGTGGTAGTTTGTTGAATCTTGCAAAACAGCCTGGAAGTACAGTTCAGATTCTTGGAGCTGAAAAGGCTCTTTTTAGGGCTTTGAAGACAAAACATGCAACACCTAAATATGGTCTTATTTATCATGCAAGTTTAATAGGTCAAGCTGCACCAAAACATAAGGGAAAAATTTCCCGTTCTCTTGCTGCTAAAACAGCTTTAGCAATTCGATATGATGCTCTTGGAGATAGTCAAGATAATTCTATGGGAATGGAGAATCGTCTCAAGGTATTGTTATGGGATGTTTGACTTTTTTTTTGTGGAATGTTTGTTGACTTTTTTGTTGATTGATTTTAGCTTGAAGCTAGATTAAGGAGTCTTGAAGGGCGAGAACTTGGGAAGTCTGCTGGATCAACGAAAGGGAAGCCTAAGATTGAGGTTTATAATAAGGATCTCAAGAAAGGAGATGGAGCTATGATCACTCCTGCAAAGGTGCTCTTTTGCTTTTATTATATTTTTGTTATATTTCAAAATGTTAATGTTATGCTAATTAGATGTTGCTATGTATTGCAGACTTATAATGTGGCAGCAGATTCTGTTCTTGGGAGGATAGAAGCAGAGGCTGAGGAAGATGAAGAGATGGTGGCAGCCATTGATGAGGGAAAGAAAGATAAAAAGAAGAAGAAAAAGAAGGAGGGTGTTGAAGATGAAGTGGAGGGCAGTGATGGAAAGAAAGACAAAAAGAAGAAGAAAAAGAAGGGTGGTGATGATGCTGATGAAGTGGTGGTGGTGGTGAATGAGGAAGATGGTGATAAAAAGAAAGATAAAAAGAAAAAGAAAAAGAAAGATGGTGATGATGAAGTGGAGAAGGAAGAGGAGAATGTTGAGGTTGAAGGGAAGAAGAAAAAGAAGAGAAAACATGGTGAAACTGAAGGTGAAACTGAAAAGGGAAGTAAGAAGAAAGATAAGAAAAAGAAGAAGGTAGAAGAGTAGTAGTAAGAGTCTATGGTTTAAATAGAAGAGTTTGGAAAATTTTGAGCTATTTTGAGAAAAAAACAAAACAGGTTTAATGTGGATGTGGATGTGGATGTTTGTAGAACGTTGTTATTTGCCCTTATTGTGGTAATGTTGGTTTTGCCTTTCCTGCAAAGTGGCAGCAGATGGATGCATTTTTAACATGTGTTGTTATAGTCTTTGTAGGAAATGTTTTTGTCTCTTTATTTATCATCATATTCACTTGGTTTTATATGTTACTTAGTAGGAGGGGTTGATATATAAAGTTAGGGCAATGAAATACTAATGTTCTTGGATTTTTATTATCCTTTTGTGGTTTCAGCTCCAATTTTCTCAGTTATCATCATCATCGTTGATGATATTGCTCTAGACACGTGACACATGTTTTATTTCTTTTGTTTTATTGGAGAATTATATAGTAAAACTTAACGTCATGATGATTAATCATCGTTGATGATATTGGCCTAAACACACATGACACATGCCTTATTTTTGTTTTATCCGAAGTGTTTTACATATTCATAAATCTCTCTCGCAATGTAAGTCTAACACTTAAAAGAGTGAAATATAAAATCAAGATCTCGGGTTCCAAAACGCACACTTTCTTAACCGTTTGTGTTCTGAGATTTAGGGGTGTTTGGGATTGCTTTTTAAACTAAAAAGTCATTTTTAGAAAAACGACTTTTTTATTTGTCTTTTTTCAAAAGAAATTTTTAAAATGTGTTTTGTATGAATTTTGAGGGTGTAAAAGGAAAAAAAAAAGTCAAAAGTTTAAAAGTCACAAATCCGTGACTTCTTAAAGAACTTTTTTTTATTCTCAAAAAGTTAATTTAAAAAAACTTTTTAACTTACCAAACAACTTTTTAAACTTTTGACTTTTTACAAAAACCACAAGTCTAAAAAATCATTTGAAAAGGAATGACAAACACCCTCTTACTTCTTACAAGATTATCTTTTGATGGGTGCAATGTGATACCTTAGATACGATTTGCTTTATTTATTTATTTGTAGGCTCGAGCAATTTTTAGAAAATTACTAGAGTTGCAAGAGTCTTAAAAGAACATTATAATTAAATACTTATATATTTATAACAATTTTTTTATTTATTTGACATTATTTATCATGACAGTTAAAACGAAGCAAAAAGGTCTTCAAGTTATGTTCTATACTTTCAACATTTTATTATTATTTTTTAGAATTTTTTTTAGAGAGACAAACTATGTCACAGTCAAGGCCCACACAAGGTGACATGGACGGAACTTTTGGACGAAGCCCACGAACGAATGCACAGATTACAGAAGACGACTATTGAACTATTATAAATACGGTTAGGGTTTTACGCCGGCCACTGTACCCTAACGCAAAAACCATCGAAACGTAACAGAGCTCTGTCTGTCGCACACTTCACTGGTACCTTCTTCTTTCCTATCTGCATATCAGAATCATGTAATTGATTGATTTAGAGGAAAACGTGTCAATGTCGTAACAAATGAGAAAACTAATTTTAGTGATCCGGCCTTTTTATTTTGTCCTTTATCAATTCCTTCCCGAAATCCTATGATTTGCTATTTATTGAGATTCTAAGCTGTTTTTTTCTGGATTGAAATTATGTTTGTGTAGGTGTTTAAGATGAACTGTTAGACGTCGTAAATGATTCTAGTAGGAATTTGCAATTTTTTTTTTTTTTTAATTCTTTTTACGGTGTCTTTTCAGCAATATGAAGGTTATCGCTGCATATTTGTTGGCCTTGTTGGGAGGTAACACATCTCCATCCGCTGAAGATTTGAAGAAAATCCTCGGTTCAGGTATATCTTTTTTCTTCCTAATTTACTTTCATGATTACGCATATTGATTGTATTCGATAACTGAATTATACTTTTTAATAATCAATGAGATACTTCTGATTCAAGTTACTTGTTCTGATGCTCCTTGCAATACGAATTATCAGATTTCTAATTAAGGTGCCATGTTGCACCCATGTAAACCCTGAACTTCATAAACTGTATGATTTGCTTAATGACAATTATAATGATCATATTCACTAATGCAGTTGGAGCTGATGCTGATGAAGATAGAATTGAATTACTCTTGTCGGAGGTTAAGGGTAAAGATATCACCGAATTGATTGCTTCTGGAAGGGAGAAGTTGGCTTCAGTTCCTTCAGGTGGTGGTGGTGGTGTTGCAGTTGCCGCCACAGGTGGTGGTGGTGCTGCACCCGCTGCAGCTGAGCCAAAGAAAGAGGAGAAAGTTGTAGAGAAAGAAGAGTCCGATGATGTAAGCTCTTTTATACCCATTGATCTTCATTGTTTGTTTTTAAACTGTTTTGTATGGTTGCATGTTGTTGACTTATCTTTTTTTCATATCTTTTGCAGGATATGGGATTCAGTTTGTTTGACTGAGGATCATCGTATGAAGCATGTTCTTTTGTCGTTTTTGGATATGATTTTTTTGGTAGTAATTTGTTAGTTTCATCTTCAAATGAAGAATTTTGTAAGACCTTGCAAAAGTTTCTTTTTTGTTTTTATACATCAAATGTTTTTTAACATAGTTTTATATGATCTTTACTTTTGTTAATTTGGATGATAATCTTTAATTAAGTCTACAAACATTTATGTAAGCGGAAAAAGGATAAACCTTTTTCACACCACATTGGCACATTGTATAAAATAAGGAGAATTTAGTCTATATCCTTATAAACTTTCGTAATTACATTTATATCCTTGTAAAACTTGGAATTACATGTTTATCCTTTTAACACCTATAAACTCACATAAGGATAATCTTGAATTAAGTCTACAAACATTTATGTAAGCAGCAAAAGGATAAACCTTTTTCACACCACATTGTATAAAATAAGGAGAATTTAGTCTATATCCTTATAAACTTTTGTAATTATGTTTATATCCTTTTGAAACTTGAAATTACATGTTTATCCTTATAACACCTATAAACTCACATAAGGATAATCCTTAATTAAGTCTACAAACATTTATGTAAGCAGTAAAAGGATAAACCTTTTTCACACGGTATTGTATAAAAAGAGGAGAATTTAGTCAACATCCTTATAAACTTTTGTGATTATGTTTATAGGGAAAATGACATAAATGCCCTACAAACTTTCTAGAATTACTCATTTAGTCCATAAAGATTTTGTCGGGTTTTATGGGTCCCTAAACTAGGATATGACATGCTCTTTTAGTCTCTGTCACACTGTAATAGCCGGTTCAATGAGCTTTTAGACAAAAAAAAAAAACTCATATTATGCCTCTATAAAGTCAAAAAAATAACTTTGTGGATGAATTCGTAACAAAAATGATTCAAGCCATGCAACACTAGGTCAGAGAGATTCGGCTGTCCCACAAGCTCAACGATATTTGAAGAAATCCTCTGCAACTCTGCTCCAAAATGGCTACCTATTTGCATTTGGATTTGAAGTGTTTTCCCAAACCATGCTTGTAAGGACGTTAGCCTCTATTGAGAAAGCAATCTCGCTGATGTCTATTGTGGACCCGATTTTACTATAAATATTTTTTATAGTTTTCCTAACTTCATCCCTTCGAAAATACCTGCATGCTTCAAGATTCTTGTTGCTTAGAACCTCATGGACAAATATCTTACGAAGGTTACATCAATTTGAATTGTTGTTAGAAAATACTACATCTAGGCCTCCATAGGAGATCGCTAAGGCGGCTTTTGATGGATTGCGGTTAGCAAATATGTCATCTTGCTCACACACCACTACCTTTACTAGGTCAGGTGTATTTATGATGCCATGAAGTTTGCTTCCCAAGTGAAACTTGGAAATGGGTCCGTAAATGTAAGCCATGTTACGAAACTCTATGTAAGTCACAACTAAGAAATGGAAGGTAGCCTACAATCGGCAAGGAAAGGGGACCTCGTGGCAATGATGGTGTACTTGAAGAGTTGGAAGAGTTCCATCTCCGCCATAAAATAGCAAAGATCATTGCTGAAATGGTGGCAAGTGCAAGAGTAAGGTGATCATTGTTGCTGCCCGACAGTTCCCACCACCATGATAAACCCTGGTTGTTGAGTTCTTCCATTTTTTGAAAATGGTGAATGTGAATACCATCAAACAAAATCATCTGCAGAATTTAAACCCCAAGCGACGACTTAAATTTTGCTGAATTGATCCCCAAACTTATTTTTTTGGCTTTATAGGGGAACAATGTAAGTTTTTTTGGTCTAAAAGGTCACTGAACCGACTATTACAGGTCGACAGGGACTAAAAGAACAAGTTATATCCTAGTTTAGGGACCCATAAAGCCCGAAAAAATCTTTAGGGACTAAATAGGTAAACCTTAGAAAGTTTGTAGGGCATTTATGTCATGTTCCATATGTTTATATCCTTATAAAACTTCAAAATACATGTTTATACTTATAGCATCTATAAACTTACATATATATCAAAATATTTAATTTAATCGTATTTAATATATTTAAAAATTAAAAGCAATATCTTTAAATTAGATTATAACTAAATTACTAAAAATACCCATTTGGAATCCTTTCTATATTTGATCTCTTCATTTGTAATATGATTCTTTGTCACTTCATATTCTACATAATTGATTAACAAAACCCGATGATTGCATATTACTAACTGACTGGTAAACAATATATTTTATCTTCCACTATGGATTTAGGAGACATGCGATTATTCTTTTCTAAACAATTTTGTTTGTTTCTTTGGTTTTTTAGTTACAAGTAAATAATGAAAAAATTAATTTCAATGTGTGTGTTAATATTTTATATAGATTCATGAAATAAAATGTGTCGAGAATAACAATGTGGGAGAAGAGTAATATTGTAATGTTACAAGTTAATTATTTTCTTAATAACAAAAAATCAATGTAAAGATCGTGTTTTATTTGCGAGAACTCGTAGACTTCTAATCCGCTCATTATTTTTCAAAACCAAAACCACCATTGGACTTATAGATAGATCATGGATCTCTCTTAGATGCAACTTTAGGGGTCCAATGGTGGTCTTGATTTTGAAAAATGATAAATGGATTAGAAGTTCTTGAGTTCTGCGAATCTTTAAGTTCTCGCAATAACTTAACTACATTATTTTTTAGTTATAAACTTTTATTAGGGATGAGCTTTAGAACCGGACAGGTTCGGAACCGAAACCAGTTTTCCTATATTATAAGAATTGGGAACCGGACTGCCGGTTCTAGCGTCGGTTCCGGTTCCGGTCCCGGTTTTTTGGTTATTTTTCAAACTAGAACATGTTGAAATATTATAGATGATATGTTATCTTACGGAGCTTGTAAATGATTCAATATTTAACCAAATTATGACTTTTTTACATTCTAAATTGAAGTACAAACACTAAATTACATGATGAAAAATAATCAAGTAATTCCGACTTCATATGAGTGAGTTATGCACATTTTAAAAGCGGGACAAATTCCAAAAAAAAAAATGCTGAAACAGAAAATACGCAACATTGATATGCTGTCTTCCGGGGTCTATAACTGATTCAACATCTAATCAAAATATGTGTTTTTATAGTCTAAAATGAACTACAAACACTAAATTACATGCTGGAAAAAAATAAGTAATTCCGACATCATATGAATGAGTTATGCACATTTAAAAAAATAGGACAAATTCAAAAAAACAAAAAACAAAATGCTGAAATAAAAAAAAAACGCAACATCGATATTCTTTCTTTCGGGGCATGTGTGTGATTCAATATCTAACCAAAACATATGTTTGTACAGTCAAAAATGAATTACAAACTCCAAATTACATGTTGGAAAAAAAATCAAATAATTCCGATTTCATATTAGTGAGTTATGCGCATAATAAAAAACGAGAAAAATGTCAAACCGGTTCCGGTTTTTAGAACCGGGACCGATTTTCATAAAAATGGAGAACCGGTATCCGGACCTTATTACCAATTCCGGTTCGGTTCTAATGCTCATCCCTACTTTTTGTCAATGTTGCAGAAAACGTTAGACGTTAGCTAGTCGGTGGACTGGGGTCTAGGGATTAATCGGCTAGGCAGTGATTAATCGGAGACCATTAATTATTAAGAAAATTATTCAAAAATTTATAAATCTAACTTTAATCGTAAGAATATAAATAAATAAGCATAAAAGTTTAATAATAAGTTTAACAAGCACAACAATTTATCATCCAATTAATACGAAAAGTTATTCAAATTTTAATATATCTTAAGAAAAGAAGTAAATTTGTGTATTTGTATATTTGAAAACATAGAAATTTTGAAAAATTTGGAGAAAAACTTTAAAATTTATTAATTTTTAAAAATTTTTGTATATATTAGTTGAACATTGAAATACTATGAACTTTTGAAATTTTGAAAATTTTGGTTTAATATTTAAAAATTTGAAAATTTGGCCGATTAGGCCGCGTAGGACCGATTAGAACCGTCTAGAACCGACTTTGACCCCCTTTGACCAAAACCGATTAAGCCGACCGATTAGCCTTAATCCTATTCGGTTGAAGACCTCCTAACGATTAATCACCGATTAATCGGCCGCCTAGACCGATTTTTACAACACTGTTTTTTATCATTATTATTGTTAATGAAGCTGTTTAGTCAAATTTTCGATAATAACTTTTACTACACAAATGTATTGTGGTTGTCTGATTTTTATCTGTATACTTCATTGGGATCGTTTAGTTTTTATCTATATAATGATATAACTTTGTTTAAATCCAAAATATTTAAAGTATGTTTTACTTGAATGTGTATATAAATTACCAATGCTCTTTTTTGTATACTTAAGTTTAAGATTACGATAAATTATCTTTTGTCTGAAAAACTTACCGCAGAAACGCACGGGGTCATCCCCTAGTTGCAAAACGTTTATGATAGATTAAAATAAACTATTTGTCGTTCAAATAATGTTAACTTATATAGAAAGTTTGTTGATGATAGATTTTTGTTGAATAAAAATTAGTAAAACTGAAACATAATTATAGTTTAACGAGGGTCACCATTAGACATTAAGGACATAGAAAAACAAGGTCAACCGTTTTACATGTCCCCACATCCAACAAAGAAAAGGAAAAGACTAATTTAGGCACCCAAGTTCCGGTAGCCTGTAGGTGTTCCGAGTGTGTTTGTGTTCCAACCCAAGGTACGGCGACTGCAAATCACTATATCTTGTTCTCTAGAAAGAAGCAGATAAAATAATATATATGTCAACTAGTTGACCTAGGGTGATCATGATAGTATGGGAAATGAACAAGTATCAATGGCAAAGTCAAAATACAAACCTGAAAAGGGCGAGATACAATATCTGAATCTTGTAGATGATTGACATTTGACAGATATACAAATGCAAACTTCCACTGATAGAGAAAAGGTGGCGAAAGTTAGATGTCATTATGATGACTTTATATAAATAAACCTAACTAACATTTAGGAAAAGAGTACGTACCTTGGAAAATTCCTCATTAGGGACCTGTAACTTGTGCTGAATGCATACTTTAACGACAACTAAAGTTTCATTTACAACAATTATGAGAAAGAAAGGTTCCCCAAAGTTTCGCACCTCCCGCTGCAAATCCAAGATCCAAGATAAACCATAAATTCACAGTGCGACGGATGGATACACTA